AGGGAAAACTTTTTCACTGAAAGGGTGAAAATAGAGTTCAGATGAGATTTATGGGCCTCCATGAAGCAGCGACAGCAGGTGAGAAGGGGGATGTTTTATCAGAAAACATGACTTTAAGATCAGCATCCAGGAGCTCCAGGCACTGTGAGGTTTGCTGTGTGTCCGTGGTGGGCAGCTCTGACACCAGGCAGTGGGTAAGAGCCCACTGTGCAGAGCAGGGGATCTGTGTGGGTAGTGGGCAACCTGAAAAGCCTGTCAGTGCTGCTGCAAAGTGCCCCTCATTGCGCTGCCATGGCCCCTGAGCCCATATCCCAGTTCCCACTCCATGGATTTTGGTTTCCATAAGAAAATAAGGCTCGTGGAACAAACCATTTGTTCACAGCTCTTCCCCCCAGTGATAAATTTTGAACTGGTAGGACAACTCCCAGGTTGGAGTGGCTGGAGGAGCAGAAGTCCCTGCAGTGCTGTTTGTAGGGGCTGTTCATTATGGCCACATAGCTGCCCCTGTAGGGGCTGAATTTCTGCTCAACCCCTGGGAGGGTCAGGGGGAGCTGAGACTGAAGGTGACCACAGTGTGGGATGTGAGGTCACAATAATCCCAACAACCCCAGTGTGGTTATGGGGGTACCAGTTCCCCCTTGTAGAGAGCCTTGAGGGCTGGTGATTTTCATTTGTTCATTAACACATCCATTAAAATAACACAGCCCAGAAATGCTGTTGGGTCCTGCTCCCACTGCTCTCTCACTGTTCCCACTGGGGTGTTGCTTCCACCTCCTACTGCTTCCCAGTGCTTACACTGCTCCCAGTCCCTTCATAACTGGAAGATGTCACTGGAAGGGCTGGGGGGTTGCACAGCAAGTATTTTCCCCCGGGGAGGGGGGAGAGCTGGAAGCAGAAATCTGTGTTTGTATTTATTTCTCTGTCTAAAAAAGAAAAAAAGTGTGGGGGGGAAGGGGGTAGGAAAGGACACCTGAGCTCATAATTTGCAAAAGTTGGATGAGAAACCTGGAAGCCGCCGGGCCCTGCATCTTTAAAAGCAGTTAAATTCCTCTTCTCTGCACTAGGAGGCACCTTGAACCTTCCTCTTGGCCCCGAGCAGAGTCCATCTGCTTCCTATTACCTTCCCATAACGCTGCCTCTGGAGCCGGCCAAGGAGCCGGGCTTTCAGGGAATTCTGTCTGCAGCCCCGATGTTGAAATTAGTAACAGTTGTCATCCGCTTCGCTCTTTCTTCTCTCCTCTTTTTGCTTTATCCCGGCTTGGATTTTAACCCCCTCCCCAGCCCCTTCCTTCCCGCGAGCTTTTGGGGTGGGAAGAGGTGACACCGATGCATCCATCATTCCCCAAGTCCCTCATCCCGCCCGGGCCCGGCCCACGGGTTCACGCGGCGAAAGCCACCTTGGCACGGGGATCCGGGAGCGTCAGCCGCTCCCGCTGTGCCTGCCAAGGACAACGAATTCCTCGGGAAGGAGCGGGATCGGAAGCGGCCCAAGCGAGGGAGGCACGGGACCGGAGAGGTCACGCCGTGCCCCGTGGGACCTGCCCGCGGGCCCCTCCGTGTCCTGATGGGCACCCCCATCCCCACCCTTCCCACCCCCACTCCGGGGGGGTCTGGGCTCCTCGGGATCGTCCGGCGGCTGCGAAGTGAGGTTATGGAAAACTTGAAATGGCGTGGAAGCAGCCGCAGAGCCTCCAGCTCCGTCCTCCTCGCTCCGGGTGCTCCTCCTGCCGGGACCACGGGGGTCTCGGAAGGGAAGCTCCGCTGGGGGAAGGGGCCGCGTTTTTTTCCCCTGCTGCGTGCGGGGAAGGAATCGCAGCCGGGCCCTTCCCCCAGCCCGGCTCGCAGGAATTTTGCAGCTGTAATTCCTGACTCGCGCTGCTCCTTTCTCTCCCCCCCCCTCCTCAAGGTCAAGGCCGCGGGGTCTTGGCGCTTGCGGCTCCCTCCCGGCTCCTGTTCCGGGGGATGCTGAGGAGCCGGGAATGAAGAGGAAGGGCAGAGGGGAGGCAAGGGCAGCGGTCCCGGCTCCCACAGCGCGGGGTCGTGGAGGGGCGGAGGAAGGACGGGAAACAACGACAGGCTTGAGGAAGAGGCTTCAACAGCTGGAAAACAAGGAAAATTAGTAGTGTGAAGCCCGGGAGAAAATACACTTCAGCTGAGCAGCTCGCTGTCCGCGGACCTTGGAGCCGTGACAGGATTTAAACGCTGGAATCTCGAGCTTTAGTAGATGCCGAAAAATGCTGACTTAGGAGAGGGGTGAAGCATGCTCGGCTGTCCTTTCGCCGTCCCCCTTTTCCAGCTCACTTCCCACAGCACGGAGCTGGGCTGTGCCTTGCTGTGACTCTGCCCTCTGTGCCACAGCCTGGGGGTCCTGGTGGGTGGCAAGTTGGGTCTGAGTCAGCAGAGTGTCCTGGCAGCCCAAAGGGCCACCCTGTCCTGGGGGGCATCAGGCCCAGCATCGCCAGCCGGGCCAGGGAGGGGATTGTCCCGCCCTGCCCTGACCTGGGGCGGCCTCACCTCAATATTGGGGCAGTTTGGGGGGACACAGTGGAAGGAAGATATTGAGCCATTGGAGAGTGTCCAAAGGAGGACACAAGGATGGGGAAGGGCCTTGATTTGAAGCCCTGTGAGGACACTGAGGGCACTTGGTGTGTTCAGCTGGAGAAGAGGAGACTGAGGGGAGACCTCACTGCAGTTCCAACCTCCTGGGCAGGGGCAGAGGAGGGGCAGGCTCTGAGCTCTGCTCTGGGGGGACCAGGGACAGGAGCCAGGGAAGGGCTGGAGCTGTGCCAGGGGGGTTGGGATGGATCTCAGGGAAAGGTTCTTCCCCCAGAGGGTGGTTGGCACTGAACAGGCTCCCCAGGGCAGTGGGCACGGCCCCAAGGCTGCCAGAGCTCCAGGAGCATTTGGATGATCCTCTGGGACACAAGGGTGTGACTCTTGGGGATGGTCCTGAGCAGGGCTAAGAGTTGGACCCAATGATCCTTGTGGGTCCCTTCCAGCCCAGCATATCCTGTGATTCTGTGACACTGCAGATGTTTCTGTCATGAGGATGTGTCCTCATGGGCCCACAGTGCTGATCTCAGCACCCTCATGTCACAGTGGAACAGGGCAGATTCCTGCCCAACCCTCTTGCCTCCCCCACTTGCTTCCCTTTATCTGTCACAGGGAAACACAGCAGCCCAAGATGAGACTGAGTTTTTCCCCCATCAGGCAGTTTATTCTCATGTTGGGCCATAGGATGCACAATTTTTGAGGCCACCATTGTGTTGTCTTCAGACTTTGAAGAAGAAAACCTGGCAAGTGGCTCCAGATGTGACTGGGGAGACCAGCCCAAGGCCTCACTGATGGTCTTTGGCCATTTTTAACTGTAAATAAGCAGTTAAATAAGTAAATAAGCCTTTAAAATCTTAGTATTTAAAATGTGCAACTCCAAATTGTGATTTAAAGATTAATGTTTCATCCTCCCAGTCACTCTTTCTAATAGGGAAAAATCACTAACTTAGATTAACGGCTTTAAGCTGAAAGAAGGGAGATTTAGATTAGATATTAGGAAGAAGTTGTTCCCTGTGAGGGTGGGCAGGCCCTGGCACAGGTTGCCCAGAGAAACTGTGGCTGCCCCATCCCTGGAAGTGTCCAAGGCCAGGTTGGACGGGGCTTGGAGCAACCTGGGCTGGTGGAAGGTGTCCCTGCCCATGTCAGGGGGTGGAATGAGATGATTTTTAAGGTTCCTTCCAACCCAAACCATTCTGGGTTTCTGTGGTAATTACTGGGGCAAGAAACCCAGATTTCCTCTTGCACCTCACCCACACATTCTGTGTCCTGTGATGGGTGTTATTCCAAGCCCCCACAGCACCAATAGCATGAATTGCTCAGTAAAGGTGGGAAAACAGAAGTAGAAAAAAACTTTCAGGGTTTTAAACTCCCCTGAGGACACGAGGTGATGGGGAGCACGACAGACCCCAGGAGGAACCAGACTGTGCTCCAGCCAGCTGGTAGCCTTGGCTGTTTAAAACATGCAAAAGCAGAGCAAGGCAGGGTCTAATAATGTTTTTCCAAGTGTTTCCTTCCTGGGATGAGGACCACACACACGCCATGGCTGTTGACACCTTTGCAACGAGCACCCTCCTCCCACCTCCAGCCTCATCTTCCCACCAGCCCAGGAGTGTTTGCCCTGCCTTTCCCAGCCGTGCTCCAGCAAGCCAAGATTCAGGATATATTTATTTATCTGTCATCTTTGCGGGGAGGTTTATGCTTTTTTTTGCTGCAGGGCTGCTCTGGAGCAGAGCATCACTGCTCAGATATTTGGGATTCTCCGGGCTCTGGTGAGGTATGTGCCGTATTCATCACGTACGTCATGGGATGGAAACAAAACCCACTGGCTTTGCACAACCCTCCAGCGCCATGTGAGTTTGTATAATTGCCTCAGACCGAGTGGGAATCATCTGCAGGCCAAAAATCTTTCACTGAAGCAATTAGCAAACCATTTCAAATAACAAATGCAATTGGAATCTCAGGATCCATTTGTGGATGGGGCTGAGGGCGAGTTCACTGAATGGCTCCTTTGTTTTCCATCACTTTTTTAGGTTTGCCCCATACACTCTGGGAGCAAGTGCTCTTCCCTCTGTGCAGTGACAGTGGGAGGTGTGTTTTAAATCCAGGGAAACCAGCAGAGAGGATTTCTAGGTTGCTGCTGATGCTGCTCTTTCCTGCTCCCCTTTGAGAGATCAGGTAACCCAGACCAGGTCACTCTTTGGTCTGCGCTTCCCTGTGGGTGTTGCCACAGGACAGAGGGTTCCCATTGATTCTGAGCTCCTTTCTTCAGGTGTAAGGTGTATTCCAGCCCTTAGTGCTGCTATTGGAACAGGACAGAGGGTTCCCATTGATTCTGAGCTCCTTTTTTCAGGTGTAAGGTGTATTCCAGCCCTCAGTGCTGCTGCTGGAGCAGTGCTGGCTGTGCAGCCTCCCTGGAGCAGGGCAGGGAGGTTTTGCAGTGGTGTAAGCTGGTGTGGTTAACTGTGGCTCCTTTCACTTCCCATCCTCTCCTCCTCTTTTCCTCTCTCTCCATCTCACTCCTCCGAGATCGGGCTTTCCTCATCCCTGAATCCCGCGTTATCCTTCTCATCCATCCTTTGCCTCTCCCACTCGCTCATCCCACCCTCTCCCCCCGCAGGGGCAATGCCTGAGGTCCGGATTAGCCCGTGCTGACCCCGCCGTGCTGGCCCCGGTCCCTGCAGGGACACTCCGGCCTCGCTGCCTCGGGAAGAGCACGGAGCGGCCGAGGATGCCTGCGGAGGGACCCAGCACTCCTGTCTCCACATAAGCAGTGCCCGAGGGAGAGACATGTTGGGACAGCGCCCTCCCAGCTGGCACAATTCTCCCCGCACCGAGACGAGCAGCGCTGACCATGGCAGTGGCTTGGAGGCTTCTCACGTGGACTGTCATCCTCGCCGCGGCCGTGGGCACCTCCCCCGGTTACACCTTCCAGTCACAAGGTAGGGGATCGGGGTGGGGAGGGGAGATGGGTCCACCCACAGCTGCGGGGACAAGCCCTGCTGCTGCTGCCACAAACCCCACTGCTGCTGCTGCCACAAACCCCACTGCTGCTGCTGGCACAAACCCCACGGCTGCCCCGGGAGGTGTTAGGGTAAGGTGCTGATGGAGACACCTGCACCTCTGCTGGTTCTCTGCTGCAGAGCTGCTCCTGCTGCAGCTCCTGTGTTTTCTGTCTCCCTGCAAGGACAGGGTGTGTTTTTTTTGCTCTTGGATAAGACTTTCTGCAGAACTCAGAGCAGTCAGTCAGGTCTGGGCAGGGCAAGGGCCACGATGGGCTTAGAAAGGAAGGAGATGTGGTGGCGTTAGGGAGGCTCCCCTCCCACGTGGGTGGAGCAGCACATCCTCGGATGAGCAGAGGTTTAGGAGGGTTGTGTGTGTGCAGCCAGCAGGTCTTGGTGTGTGCAGGGATGGAGGGCAGTGCTGGAGCACCCAAACCCTCTGCCCAGCTGAGCCTGGACGGGCCTGTGCTGCTGGAGGAGCAGTTTTAGTTTGGACACACATTTCTGTAAGTGATACCAGTAGTAACTGCTCAAACCTGCTCAGGCACCAGCACTTTGTACCCATCTTGTGTGTCTGTGTGTGCCTGATGGTGGGATTGTTGGGGTGCCCTGGGCAGGGCCAGCAGCTGGACTCGATGGGTCCCTTCCAACTCAGCCTGTTCTGTGATCCTGTGACATGGGAACCCAGCAGGGATTGTGAAAGCTCCTGAGACAATGGGGGAGTGCACACCAGGACCCCCAGGGCCCTTTCCAGGCACTGCTTTCCAGTCTGTCCCTCCATCCCAGGGGCAGAATCCGGCCTTTCCCCATGTTCTTCCCATGGTTGGTCACAGCCCCGTGGGCCCCTCTTGCTGTCAGAGCCCTGTTTTAGTCTCCTGCATCCAGAACAGTGCTGATGTGACTCAACACTTCACCACCCTGCTGAGATAGCCAGGACATAACTCCCACAACACCTCCTCAAGAGGGTGAAATGCTTGTTATCTCTTCTGAGCAGTTGGAGAACAAAGGCCAGTGTTTTCAACAAGCCCCTGATCTGCACTGAGTGACTCCCCCCAGTCAGCAGCAGCAGGACTCACGTGCCCTTTGTGCAACCACTCCAGGTTGGGGGGTTTGCTTCCTGCAGGAGAAAGATTAAGGTATCACAGTCATGAGCTCTAATTATCTTTGTGGGGAACAGCAGCTGCTGTTGAGGCCTCTGCAAGCCCAGGAGCTGTAACGAGGTTCAGATGGAACTGTGCAGGGAACAGCAGCTGAAATTATTGGAACAGCCTGTCCAGAGGAGCTGTGGCTGCCCCATCCCTGGAAGTGCCCAAGGCCAGGTTGGATGAGACTTGGAGCACCCTGGGCTGGTGGAAGGTGTCCCTGCATGGGCAGAGGTGGGACTGGATGGGCTTTAAGGTCCCTTCCAACCCAAACCATTTTCTGATTCCGTGCTTGTGTGAATTGACCACGGATCCAGCACGTGCTCATCAGTGCTGAGTGGTTTTAAATCCAAAGGGAATTCTCTGTTAGGTCTTTAGTTCAATTACATTGATAGATCAGACATTCCAATTTTGTGGAACGTTAGGTGGGGCTGCTCTTACTGTTCCTGGTACCTTTGCCCACACCCCATCCCCCCTCCTTCCCAGCTTTCTGCCTTGCTCTTTCCTGGGAGGTTTGTGATCCTTCAGGGGTGCCCAGTGTCCCACACAGCCATGGGCAGCTTTTCCTGGAGAAAGGCTTTTTATAGCCTCTCTTCCAAGGGAATTTGACAGGTCTCTGCAGACACCAAGGGCTTATCTCCAGTGCAGACCCTTCTGCTCCAGTGGGTGCAGCAGAGCTCGGGCCAAGATCTATTTGTAGAGTGTGAAGTGGCTGAGGGTCAGAGGGCACCTGATGGAAGGGCCAAATGGAGCTCCCAGCCTGGTCTGTAGTGTGGGGAGCGTGACCAAGGCAGGCATGAGGAAATGAGGGATTTGGGGAACATCTGTGATGGAGGATGGAGCAGGCAGGGTTGGGGAGTAAGAGATCTGAACCTCTTAAGGGACTAAATATTTTACATTCTTAGAGAAGGAGGCAGCTGTGACACTGCATGAGGACAGTGACATCTTTTCTGTGTTGAAACTCTCTCTTCATTATCAACACTCTGCATGACTGTCAGCAGAACTGTCATGTGTATAACATTAGATATTGGGAATCTTAGATCTAGACTGGATATATGGAAGAAATCCTTCCCTGGGAGGGTGGGGAGGCCCTGGCACAGGTTGCCCAGAGAAGCTGTGATTGTCCCATCCCTCGAAGTGTCCCAGGCCAGATTGGACGGGGCTTGGAGCACCCTGGGCTGGTGGAAGGTGTCCCTGCCCATGTCAGGGGGTGGAATGAGATGATCTTTAAGGTCCCTTCCAACCCAAACCGTTCCATGATCCTATTCTTTGGTTATTTTTTTTCCATTTTTGGCATTCCCACTCGAAGTCATCACTTCCTAAAACATCCCTGTGATCAGGACACTGCTCTTGGGCTCTTCCTGTGCCTCATTTTCCAGGGTGACATCCCTGAGAAGATGCCCAGTGACCAACACCACAACACAATCAGGTTCTCACACACAGCCTCACCCTCAGGCTCTGGACACCTTTTTTCCTCCTGGACACTCTTCCAGGTCAGGATCAGAGACTCCAGCCCAGGCTCTCAGGACCTTTGTAGCCACCACACGCACAAACCTCCTTCTGATTCACTCTTTTTCAAGCCCACATGGGCTGCAGAGAGGGGAAAAAGAAAAACAAGGCACTTCCCGTTGCAAATTTTTCCAAGCCTGAAGTCATTGCTGAAGTGCAAATAGTCACCCTTGTTTGCAGGATAGGGATGCAGGAGAAGCTGGAGCACGGGAAGTTAAAAAAGCTAATAATTATTTCTGGCTTGTCAGGGGCAAGGGAGAGGTGCCAGAAGTGCTCGTAGTTTGGAAGGAGGGGAGCTAACCCCTAAACCCAGCTGGTGGGAAGGACTGTCCCATTGCTGGTGGCCAAGGAAACCACCCTGTCAGGCTCCCACACTGGAAAACACACCAGAGAGGAAAGGGAACTTTCCAGTGCTTTCACCCTGTGGTGAGAGTGGAGTTTGGAGTCCAAGTTTCTGATGGCTGGGAAGGCTTTGAAGATGGGTGCTCTGGAGCCAGGAGAAATGCAGCCACCCTGGAGCAGCCTGTTTGCTTAGGAAGCAACTCCACACAGGATGCAGAAGGCACAGCAAGGCTCTTCCAGAGTGAGCAGAGGGCAAATCTGAGGGTTCAGGACACTCAAAACCTCCAGGCACGAGGGGTTCAGAAAAACACAGTGTGGTGGAGGAGCTGTCCTGCCCAGCACACAATATTTGACATTTTCTGCTGATGCCTGTGGTGCTGGGGGCTGTCAGAGACAGCTCAGACCCAGCCTTGCAGTCCCTGGGACATTTTCCTTTGGAAAGGAGGGATTGCTGGGTGGGGGGGGTTGTTCAGTGCCAGGTTGTTTGACAGCCAGAATTGTTGCATTACCAGGCACACAGGTCAGACAGTGCCCTCACAGAGCACGTTTCCTGAGTGCTACAGGACAGGCCCAAAGCTCAAGTGCCCCAAGAGAAGGTGCTAAGCCAGGCTGATATGATAAAAAAAAAAAATCACAAATCCAGTGATCTGGGAAGGCAGGATGGTGTCACAGACAGAGATCAGGAAAGGGAATAGGGATGTCTGACTTATTTTCTTGCTGCCCTTTCAACCCAGCTGGGGAATTCTGGTTGCCCCCTTTCTCGTTTTGGTATCAAGGCTGGCACTGCAAGGACAGTGGCTTTGTGCCCCTCAGGAGGATGCCCAGGGCCTCCTGCACCGAGGCAGCTCTGACTGGGGAGGTTGGTGTGGTGCTGTGAGTTATCAGCTGGCAGGTCCACGTGGCAGCTGCAGATGTTCTGAGGAACCCACAGTTCCTCAGCAAGGCTGATATTGTCACCCCAAGGCCCGTTCTGGTTCATTTTGAGGAGACCTTATTGCTGTTTTTTTTTACTGAAATGATCCAGTTAAAATAACCCTCCAAATCACAGAGTGTGGCTCTGCACAACCTGGAGTCCCTCTGCTCAGTGGAGGTGGAAGATTGATGAATGGATAGATGGATGGATGGAGGGATGGATGGATGAATGGATGGATGCATGGATAGATGGCCCCTTGGGCCAATCTGTTTCTTTCCATCACCTGCAGGGGAAGAAAATTGCACTCCATAGTCTTGCTATGCCAAAGCTCTGTGGGCTGCAGGGCTTTGGGAATATCCCAAGGATTCTGCAGCCTGGGCAGAGCACACACCCTGTGTTTAAGTTCCCCGTGCTGGCTGTGGCCCTGCTCGACCCCACTGAGCGTTTGACTCAGACTCTCCTCGCAGAACATCATTCCTCTGTGTTTCCTTCCCTCCCCAGAGGAGTTCCTCTCCAGCCTGGATCACTATGAGATCGCCTTCCCCATCCAAGTGGACCAAAACGGGGACTTCCTCACCTTCGACATGCGGAGGCAGCTGAAGCCGCGACCCCGGCGCAGCCTGGGCTCCCTGGCCTACGAGCCCCCCGAGCAGCAGGTCTTCTACAAAGTCTCTGCCCACAGGACCCAGTTCCTGCTCAACCTGACCCTGCACTCCAACCTGCTGGCCGAGCACTTCACCGTGGAGTACTGGAAGCGGGACGGCATGGACTGGCAGCACGACTTCCACGAGGACTGTCACTACGCCGGCCACCTGCAGGACCAGTACCTGAGCTCCAAGGTGGCCATCAGCAACTGCAACGGGCTGGTGAGTGGCCGTGGTTGGCAGCGCCAACACCTGACGGCAGCCTCTTTGATCCCTGTGTGTCCCAGCGGGCGGGTCCACGTGGTGGGAAAGGTCTGGGATCAGTGTCGAGCGGGGAACGTTGCGCCGGCGTCCAAAACCGGGGGAAGGTGCGGACAGCACATCCCTCATCACGTCTCTAGGGGTTCCTCAGCCCTGTTCCACTTGCAGCCCTCTCCCTGCCAAAAGGCAGTGGGCATTTTTCCCACTGATTTTAATTGGAGTGGGATGATCCAGGCTCTAGACCGTTGTTCTGGCTCTCGCAGGGCTCTCTCCCCTCCCCTTCCAACAGCAACAGCAAAAAAATGTTTTGCGTGCGCTGAAAGAGAGGGAGAAGTGCAGGAGGGCAGGAATTTCACAGCACCACTGGAATGTCAAAAGTGCACTGAGGTCCTTACAAGTGCAGATGCATTCCTGGGGTTCCCAGGCTTGATTTCAGGAGCTAAAAATGCGAGTTATGTAGGGAAAAACTGAAATAATCGGGTTTTCGGTATGAAAAAGAGAACAAACAAAGATGGCATTCCGCAAAACCAGCAAGGCTGCTGGAAGGAGGGTGGGAATGATTGATTTTGCAAGTCTTAAGAGCTTAGAATAGACATCATGGCCCTAAATATCAGTAAGAAAAGCTTAATGGTAACATAAGTGGTGAGGATGGCTGAGCTCTGGACTAGATTGCTTGGAGAGTGTGAGATCTTTGGAGATCTTTAAGAACAGGCCAGACAAGTGCCTCTCAAAAATCCTCCAGGTATGATTCACTAGTTCTTCCAGCACTGGCAATAGACTGAGAACTTCCATCCCTATTTTTCTGTGATTTTTCTGATGTGTCTGGCTCCCAAAGCACATTTCATGACCTGTCAGGTGGAGGGATGGAGCAAACATACCCTGCTAGTGAATCCCAAGGCTGATGGTTCTCTTGGAGGGGCAGCATGTAGAAAAAGACTCTGTAGGCCAGACTCATATTTAGGCTCCAGCCCCACCTCTGAGCACTATTCTGGCAGTGTGGAAGAGCATCCAAATGGGAATGAATTCACGTTTGATTTATTGCTAAATTACACTGCCAGAACAGTGCTGTGGGTTATTAACAGCGACGAGAATCTGACTCATTATATCATGGAGCCCTAATGTTTCCACCTCACAGCCAAAACTCAGAGCTGCATAAACTCCTGGTCCCCTTTGTTTGTTTAGACATGGGAACTCTGCTCAAGGCCCAGACAATTCCCTGGTGTTCTCAAAGGCACCGAGGGCTGAGCTGGATGCTGCTGGCTCCGGAGGGATCTTGGCATCACCCTTCCCGCTTCAGAGGGCAAGCAGTGGCCCAGCAGCACTTTGAACGGGGATAATTCAGTCCACAGGCTGTGTTTAGCCCTGGAGAGATACCAAGGGCTGTCTGGAGGAAAATGCAGCCAGGCACAAAGAAGGACTGAGGGTCATCCAACAGCCTCTCCTTTTCCTGAGCTCTGTCCTGCCCCCGAGGGTTGTGGACATCAGGGAGGAGGGGGGAGGAGGCCTGCTGGGTCAGGGAGGATGAAAGGGTCAGGAATTTGGGCAAGAGGAGCCTGGAATGTTTGTAGCTGGCAGAGAGGGGGCTGTGCTTACAACAGAGGAGACCTTTGGCAGAGCTCTGGTTGATCAGTGACAGCTGATCCACGCGTGCCATCCCTCATCCGCAGCGTGCTCAGCTCCAGGCAGGAATCATCTGCTTTGGAGGGGACAGGCAGGGACAGCAGAGGGTCCCCCCCAGGGGCTGAGGAGTCCAGGTTCGTGTTCCTGCTGTTGAGGGGGGACTGCACAAGGTGACCCATGTTTGCAGACCTGACTCACTGCAGCTGCCCAGAGGGCTGTGGTGTTGGAAGGGCACAAGCAGGGACCGAGTGCTGGTTGTGGGGTGAGCTGTGAAGAGGAAGGAAAGGGATAATTGTGTCCAACACAAAGCTGGGAAAATGGAGTCCCTAGCCATCCTCCTGCCCTCCAACTCCTGCATCCCTCAGGAATTTCTGTGTCTTTCTTTACAGGGTGCACCACTGTAAACTCCTTTGTTTTCAAACACCCCTGACACAACTCTCACCTCGCAGCACATCAGCTTTGGGTGCCAATGGCTGAGCATGTCTCCCCAATATAAAATGTTATTGTTCATCAGAGTATCTTTACTATACACATATATATTTATATTTTCTCAACAACCCTTATGATTTTGACATCAAACAAAGCCGTAAGGAATTTTGTCCCTACACAGACAAGACTTGTTTTAGGTTACTTTTGACCGCAGAATCCCAGAATGATTTGGGTTGGAAGGGACCTTAAAGCCCATCCAGTCCCACCCCCTGCCATGGGCAGGGACACCTTCCACCAGCCCAGGGTGCTCCAAAGCCCTGTCCAACCTTGCCTTGGACACTTCCAGGGATCCAGGGGCAGCCACAGCTTCCCTGTGTTCTGAAATTGTGTTTTCACCTGAAGAGCCCCCCCTGGACCCAGCATGGACACAAATGTTGGAGCAGGGCAGAGCTGGTCCTGCTGAGGCAAACAGCTCCTGTGTCCATACGAGGGGCTGGAAGAGCCGAATCCCAGCGTGAGGTTTGTGCTTTCCTGAACCGCGGTCATAACTAAGAGCACAAACCATGCCTTGCTCTGCAGATGACCTGGCTGAATCACGGACAGGATATATAGTGGAGCTCCCCCACAAACCACAGGGATCTCCCCGAGGACTTCTCCCCACCCCCCTTTCCCCTGGCCTGTGTCACATCCAGCACCTGGACCTCAGTGCTCGGTCCTTGGGGTCACACTTGGGTGACACCCAAGCTTCATGGTGGTTCAAGGCTCCAGCTTTGAGTCAGAACACCCCTTTTCCAGCAGGCCACGGGTTTGGGGGTTTGGAATTGCTCTTCCCCCTCAGTGCCCTGCCCCAGGCTGGTGGTGACCTCTTCCTCCTCCTCCTCCTCCTCCCTGGCCCTCGGAGCCGGCAGCCAGCTGGCTCTGCTGGCCGGCACTCGGCTTTCCGCCTCAGCCCTGGCCAGGGTAACCTCACAGTACCTCGCTTGTGTTTGAGAAGGTGGAGCCCAGCCAAGAGCAACAGAGCCTGGGGCAGGAGGAAATCCCCCCGGCACTCGGGGTTTGGGGGCTGCGCTGAGCGCACACTGCCCCGATTGAGCTCTGCGGGACGGAGGGAGAGGGGCAGAGTCTACCCTGGAGAGGCTCCCCCCAGGAACACCCTCCAGGGGGCTGTTACACAGGTGGGACCTGCTGTTCAAGGGCCTCAGGGGGTTTTATAGACACCAACTCCCCCTCTCCCTGTCACAGAATCCTGGAATGTGCCGAGTGGGAAGGGACCCACAAGGATTATCCAGTCCCAACTCCTGGTCCTGCACGGGACACCCCAGCAATCCCACCCTGTGCCTCTCAGGGTCATCCAAATGCTCCTGGAGCTCTGGCAGCCTTGGGGCCGTGCCCACTGCCCTGGGGAGCCTGGGCAGTGCCCACCACCCTCTGGGGGAAGAACCTCTTTCCAACCTAACCCTGCCTTGACACAACTCCAGGCCATTCCCTGGGTCCTGTCCCTGGTCCCCCCAGAGCAGAGCTCAGTCCTGCCCCTCCTCTGCACCTCCCCAGGAAGCTGGAACTGCAGTGAGATCTCCCCTCGGTCTCCTCTTCTCCAGCTGAACACACCAAGTGCCCTCAGTGTCCTCACACGGCTTCAAATCAAGGCCCTTCCCCATCTCAGACCTTTCAGGCAAAGGGAAATCTTGCTGTGAGGATGGGACTGGCTGCAGAGGAGAGATCTTGCAAGCACCTGGGGGGTTTGGCTGCTCACCCCACTGGGATCTGCTCCTGCCTGGTCATCACTGTCTCACGAGTGGCTCCACTCACAGGGAGCAAAGTCTGGGCTCACAGCTGAGATTCAGGCTGCTTAATCAGCTCCCTGCTTAATCAGACTTCAGATTTTAAAGATTTGATGTGTTTCTCAAAAGCCTCTGAGTGCCCACACTTCTCTGCAGCTCTGTGCCCCTGTTCCCAGCTGGTGGGAATGGTCCTGAGCTGCTTTGGAAGGGTCTCAGGTGAAGGTGAAAGCACAGGAGGCAGATCTCACTGCTGCAGTCTCAGTGTATGGTATTTGGGATCCCACAGGCAGCTCTCAGTGAGACTGAGTGGGTGGAATAGGAAACAACTCATTCATAATTTTGCAAGGAAAGGCTGTGATTTCCAGAGGACTTTAGTGAACACAGATGTCCCAAGGCATCCAGGACCATCTGGTTGGGTTTTCTCTGCTCTTTATGCTCATGTAGTTCACAGTTTGTGCGTGAATGAAGGATTCCTTCCCGTCCTCCAACGTGTTTGTCAGTCCCCAGAAATTATGGAGTTGATTAACAGGAAGCTCGTTGTGAGAAGCCACCAAACCAACCCCCAGTTCTCTCTCCCACCTCTTTCACTGCCTTCCCTCTCTCTCTCTCTCTTTCCTCCTGCAGCACGGGGTGATCGTGGCAGATGAGGAAGAATATTTCATTGAACCCCTGAGCCCTGGAGCCAACGTCAGCACGGGGGGAGAGGGCAAGGGCAGCCCCCACGTCGTGTACAAGAGATCATCTCTCCAGTACCCCCACATGGACGCAGCCTGTGGAGTGCTAGGTACCTGTTCCCCACCAGCACCCCCTCGATCCATCCCAAAAAAGGGCTGGGCAAGTCCTGCCAGACCAGGTTTTGAAGGTGCTCTAGGTGTCAAAGAACCAAATTTATCAGCATTCAGGAAAGATTGTTGTGTTTACCTTGACCCACGTTGAGCACTTCTGGTGGCCTGGTCTTTGGAAAGGCCTTGCACTTCTTTTTCTTAAGAAAAATCCTCCCAGATTTGGCCAATTTACCATGTGTTGAGAAATGCCAGCTTACACATGCTCAGCAGAGACTTGTCTTTGGGTTTTAGCTACTGCAGGTTGTGTCCATGCTGAGGTAACTGGGAAGTAAAGTCTGTGCAGTGGGAGCCACGGGGCAAACACAGTCCAGAACAACCACAGTGCAACTGGCCCCAGCAAAGCCACACAGGCTGGACCTGCCCTCACCTGCCCAGCACACCTGAGCACCCCCAGGAGCTCCTGGGATGAGCCAGGGGAGCTGGGGCTGGCAGGTTGTGGGGCTGCTTGTGGTCTGCCCATCTTCCCAGTCTGGTGGGTGTTTGAGGATCCAGCATCAGAGCACAGGAGGGGGATCCAGTGGCTCTCCTGGCGGAGCAGGATGGTGGCTGTTGGTCTCCCAGTCAGTTCTTCTGCCCTGTGGTGGTCTCCAGGCTGAGGGATTGGAGCTTATGACCCTACTAGAACTCACCTAGGGTTGGGTCAGCAGCACTTGGAGCCTGAAGCAAAGCCCTGCAGATCTGCTGCTTCTGCTGCTTTGGAGGCTGCAGCCATTTCTGTGGAGGAAAAGCCAAGTCCTAAATTGAGGTCCTGGCAGGAAAAGGAAAGAGGAAATAATCTGCAATGGCTTTTATTTTCGGGTTGTGTCTATGCAGCCCCTAAATCCACCCTGGGACAGAGGTGAGGGCAGGGCTGGGCACATGGAGCTGTGTGGGGATGTGGTGGGATGGGCACTCACCCCCTGGAAGCAGGAGGGAGCAGGAGGGGGCAGGAGGACAAAAGAGGGGGCAGGAGGAGGCAGAAGAAAGCAGGAGGGGAGCAGGAGGAGGAAGGACCAAGCAGGAGGAGGCAGAAGGGGGCAGGAGAAAGTAGGAGGGGGCAGGAGGAGGCAGGAGGGGACAGGAGGAGGCAGGAGGGGACAGGAGGAGGCAGGAGGGCACGTGGGATGCCAGCAGGGCTGGCAGGAGCAGGAGGACAGCCCTGGGCTGCTGTGGGGCATTTTCTGGGTCCACAGAGAGAGCCCCACAATGGCCTTTCCTTTCCCCTCACGCTGCACACCCCAGACCTCTGCGAGCTTCTGAGTCGCTGCTGGAGGGGCAACAGCAACATCTCTTTCCCTCCTCAGATGAGAAGCCCTGGAAGGGGAGGCACTGGTGGCTGAGGACACTGAAACCCTCCCCTCTGAAGCCATCGGGCAACCACAGCCAGCGGGGGCAGCTGCCCCTCAAGAGGTCCGTGAGCACCGAGCGCTACGTGGAGACCCTGGTGGTGGCTGACAAGATGATGGTGGGGTACCACGGCAGGAGGGACATAGAGCAGTACATCCTGGCCATCATGAATATTGTAAGTGTTATAACCACACCAGGAACCTGGTGGGGGTGTGGGGAGGGACTCAGACACACACCCAGGAATGGTTCCTGCTCATTATCACCCCCGGTGTCTGGGCTTGGCTTGTTGGGTGTTTTTTTCCCTGCAAGAAATGTGGGACGGGAAATCAGAGTCAGATCCGTTCCAGGAGGGCAGGGGCTTCTCCCCATGCTAAGAGCAGCACTTTTGGGTCAGAAATCCTGACA